GCGCCTGGGAAGCCCACGCTGGTGTGCTCCAGCGCGGTGGGGAGCTGGTCGTACTCGCAGCAGAGGCGGCAGAGGGTGTGCTCCGGGGAGGGCCCTCCCAAGACCGACCTCATGGCCTTCAGCCCCAGCCTACCTCAGGGTCCCAGCTCTGCAGGCACTGTGAGTCTCAAAAATAATTTTCACAATAATTTTAGTTTAAATCTTTAATATTTATTATTTCCCTCCATCTTCTTTTTTATCTTTATTTATTTTTTTTGAGAGTGAATGAGTTTATCAGCTCTTTCCTGAGAACAGCTTTTTCAGAAAGAGGGTGAAAGGGTGTACAAAACGGCACCGAGCTGCTGGCCGAGCAGCAGGCCAAGGAAGCGAGAGGCAAAGAAAGCAGGGAGACAGGGCACACGGAAGACACAGGGCAGCTCCTGGACAATCTGGCCCAACGAGCCTCAGCAAACTGGCAGGCCCCAGGGACTGAGGTGCGTGGCTCCAGGCCTCAGTGAGGGAGAGACATCACAGGCATTTAATTATGGTTTTATACTTGATTATTATCTCATCATTTCAGATGTAAGTTCTGTATTGGTACTAATTCATTTACTTAAAATTACAGTTATGCTTAGAATTCATTTTAATTTGTTGCAGATAATCGCTTTGCAGTAATGAATATATTTCAGTAACATTCCCTTTTTTAAGGTTTTCAAAGTTGGCGTGAATGGATTACTTTTCTTTGCAGGATAGAAATTGTTTCCTAAATCAAATTTTAATATTTTAATTTTTCAGTCTGTAGGAAATGTAGGGAGATACTTGTATGACATATTTGGAGTTATTTACCTTCAAATCTCATATTGCAACTGCATTGAAATGTTTTCACGTAGCTATGTCACTTTGCCTTTTCCATTGAATATCAGTTATTTTAGTATTTTTATTACACCAAATTAATTTCCTTTTTATGTAATATTTGTACACTGAATCATTCTTTTAAGGTTTCTCTAAACGATTTTCTTTCTCATACTTATGATGAATTTGATATTTATGATTATTTTTTAACTGTAGTGGCTTCATTTATTTTTGAATACAAAATACACTTACATGGTTTACAATGTTACCCTTCCACCTCCAATATCAAGCCACTTAATATACCTCCTTGTACATTTCTAAGGTGGTTTTTTTGTTTTTTTCTTTCTTTTTAAAGTAATATCTACACCCCACGTGGGGTTTTAACTCACAACCCTGAGACAAGAGTCACAGGCTCTACTGACTGAGCCAGCCAAGTGCCCGGTCTTCCTTGACTATTTCAAACGTTGCAATTTCTTGATTATCTTTCCACAGATATTTTCTTTATATACAAATAAGCACCCCTCTTCTATTTTAAAACATAGTAGTCATATCGCTTTTCCTCTGTCTGTTTTACTTAATATATCTTGATAATCATGATGTATCAGTACTTGAAGATGTGTCACATTCCTTTTTCCAGATTTATGGTGCCCCACTTTGCAGATATATCATAATTTTTTCCCTTACCCTAACATCAACATTTAGTGGAACAATGATTAGTTTTTCTTTAACTTGCATTTTTTTTCAATTGACAAATTATTATATTGGTAAGAAGCAGTTTTGAGCTCTCACAGTTGGGAAAATCTTAACATATTCAAATTAGATATTATTGGTATGTTTTGTTTTTTTTTATGATGTTATATATCAGTTATATTTCAATTTTAAAAATGCACACCAAGGGGCGTCTGGGTGGCTCAGTTGGTTAAGCGTCTGCCTTTGGCTCTGTTCATTATCCCAGGGTCCTGGGATGGAGCCCCACATGGGGCTCCCTGCTTGGCGGGGAGTCTGCCTCTCCCACTCCCTCTGCCCCTCTCCTCAGGCTCCTGCTTGTGCTCTCTCTCTCTCTCCCCCTCTCAAATAAATAAATAATCTTAAAAAAATAAAAACGCACACCAAATTTCAAAGATAGTACAAAACTAAAGATGAAATATATTTCATCAATACTTTCAAAAGTAGTATTTACATGTTGAAATGGTAGTATTTGGGATACATTCAGTTAAATAAAATATACTATTAAAATCTCATCTACTTGTTTTTACTTTTTTTTAAAATAATTTTTATTGTTATGTTAATCACCATACATTACATCATTAGTTTTTGATGTAGTGTTCCATGATTCATTGTTTGTGCATAACACCCAGTGCTCCACGCAGAACGTGCCCCCCTCAACACCCATCACCAGGCTAACCCATCCCCCCACCCCCCTCCCCTACTTGTTTTTACTTTTTAAGAATGTGGCAACTGGGGGGTGCCTGGGTGGCTCAGTCGGTTAAGCGACTGCCTTTCGGCTCAGGTCATGATCCTGGAGTCCCGGGATCGAGTCCGCATCGGGCTCCCTGCTCAGCGGGGAGTCTGGTTCTCCCTCTGACCCTCCCCCCCCTCATGCTCTAGCTCATTCTTTCTCTCAAACAAATAAATAAATAAAATACTTAAAGAATGTGGCAACTGGGGTGCCTGGGTGGCTCAGTCGGTTGTGTGTCTGACTCTTGGTTTTGGCTTAGGTCATGATCTCAGGGTCTTGGGATGAGCCCTGCCTCAGGCTGGGCACTGAGCAAGGAGTCTGCTTGGGATTCTCTCTCTTCCTCTCCCTACTCTCCTCCTTCTCTGATCCCCTGTTGCATTCTCTCTCTCTACTAAAAAAAATGGGGCTACTAAGGGACACCCTGCTGGCTCAGTAGGTAGAGTGCATCACTCTTGATCTCAGGGTTGTGAGTTTGTGTATATATATATATATTTATATATATATTTATTTTTGTATATTTACATATACCACATATTCTTTATCCACTCATCTTTTGATGGTCACTTGAGATGCTTTTGTAATTTGGCTATTGTAATTAATCTGCAGTAAACATAGGGGTGCATATATCCCTTCAGCATAGTGTTCATATTCTTTGGGTAAATACCCAGTAGTGGAATTACAGGATCATATGGTAGTTCTATTTTTAATATTTTGAGGAACCTCCATACAGTCTTCCATAGTGGCTGCGCCAGTTTGCATTCTCACCAACAGCGCATGAGGGTTCCTTTTTCTCCATATCCTCGATAACACCTATTGTTTCTTGTGTTGATTTTAGCCATTCTGACAGGTGTGAGGTGATACCTCATCGTAGTTTTGATTTGCATTACCCTGAGGATGAGTGATGTTGAATATCTTTTCATGTGTCTTTTGGCCATCTGGATGTCTTCTTTGGAGAAATATCTGTTCATGTTTGCCCCTCCCCACCGCTTGCTTGTACTCTCTCTCTTGCTCTGCTGTCTCTTTCTCTCAAAATAAAAAAATAAAAACAAAATATTTAAAAAAGAACCATAGAAGGGGGGAGGAAGATGTGTGTTCAGGAATACCTTCAGTGAAAGTCTTATTTGAAACATTGGAAGTGGATGAGAACACTTAAAGGAAAGCATATACAAAGTTGAGATTGAGAGAAAAGGATGAGCTCATTTAGGAGCAGCTGAAGGATCAGAGCATCAAAGAATTATGGGTAGATATTCCACGAGAATTTGCAGTGAAGGAAAATGTTTGGGGGGGGGAAATTAGAAGTGCTGTAAAGAATATGCACTAAAGTTTTCTTCCATTATTAAGTAAAAGAAACAGCCTTGGGAGTGTTTGATATTCATCAAATAAAGAAAGAATGGACTTCAATAATCTATAAGGTGTTAAAAATGTGGATAAAATTTGTTAATTTAAAATTACAGTCCATTCTTTCTCAGAGCAAAATACATGTCCTATAACAGAAATATATGCACATGTTTCTTCTCTACACAAAGAGTGTAGTATAGCTTGCACTTCTAATTCCCACACCTACTTCAGATCACAAATTTTCTGAACTGGTTGATAGCAGTAATTAAATTATTGCGAGAGAAGTTGTGTTGCTATGAATTATCTGATCCCTTATCCTACTCTAAATTAATAAAAGAAATTAGACGAGATGAAACTGGCTCTGCAAATTACGAACATAAGGAGATTTACTATTAAAGTAAGGCAAAATAAGAATTTCTTTAACTTAAAGGACTACAGCTTAGCGCGGTTATGCGAATTCATTTCTTACCCTTTGTAGCCGCATGATGTCGCTGTCTACCATGAAGTCAATCTAGTCATTACAGTATGCAAAATCCATTCCTCGTATTACTGATTAGTTTCACCAGTGCTCAGTGATGGCAGGCGCAGAAGAATTGGATTAACAGACTCGGGATCATACAGATTTTATCTTAATTGCGAGGCAAGATCTTCTGATGGAAATAAAACAAGTATTAGACATGGTTATTACCCTGGAAGGCCGACTGGGATATCAGTATCTGCTGCTATCGCTTCTGCTCCTTGCAGCGTGGGAGGAGGGCAGCGGCCAGGTTCAGTACTCGGTCGCCGAAGAGTCCAAACACGGCACCTTCGTGGGCCGCATCGCCCAGGACTTGGGGCTGGAGCTGGCAGAGCTGGTGCCGCGCCTTTTCCGGGTGGCGTCCAAAGGCCACGGAGACCTTCTGGAGGTAAATCTGCAGAATGGCATTTTGTTTGTGAATTCTCGGATCGACCGGGAGGAGCTGTGCGGGCGGAGCGCGGAGTGTAGCATCCACCTGGAGGTGATCGTGGACAGGCCGCTGCAGGTTTTCCATGTGGAGGTGGAGGTGAAGGACATTAACGACAACGCGCCTGTGTTTCGTTTAAAGGAACAAAGAGTGCTGATTTACGAATCAAGGCTGCCAGATTCTATGTTTCCACTAGAGGGCGCGTCAGATGCGGATGTTGGCTCGAATTCCCTCTTAACCTATAAACTCAGTTCTAGCGAATACTTCGCCCTAGATGTGAAAACAAACAGTGATGACAATACACAAATTGGGCTCGTATTAAGGAAATCCTTGGACAGAGAGGAAGCTCCCGAACATAACTTACTGCTGACAGCCACTGACGAAGGCAAACCTGAGCTCACTGGCACTGTTCAGCTACTGGTCACTGTGCTGGACGTGAATGACAATGCTCCCATTTTCGAACAAACTGAATATGAAGTAAGGATCTTCGAAAACTCGGGCAACGGAACAATAGTCATCAGACTGAATGCTTCTGATCGGGATGAAGGAGTGAATGGGGAAATTTCATACTCTTTTAATAGTCTTGTTCCAACCATGGTTAGAGACCGGTTTAGAATAGATCCAAATACTGGAGAAATAGTAACTAAAGGGAATTTAGATTTTGAAAAATTGAATTTATACAAAATTCGTGTTGACGCGACGGACAAAGGCCACCCACCCATGGCTGGACATTGCACTGTTTTATTGAAAGTTTTGGATAAAAATGATAATGTCCCTCAGATTGCGTTGACTTCCTTATCCTTGCCTATCCGAGAGGACGCTCAATTAGGTACTGTTATTGCCCTAATTAGCGTGTCAGATCTCGACTTCGGTGCCAACGGGCAAGTGACCTGCTCACTAACACCCCATGTCCCCTTCAAGCTGGTGTCCACCTTCAAGAATTACTATTCGCTGGTGCTGGACAGCGCCCTGGACCGAGAGAGCGTGTCGGACTATGCTCTGGTAGTGACCGCACGCGACGCAGGCTCGCCTTCGCTCTCCGCCACGGCCAGCGTGTCCGTGGAAGTGGCGGACGTGAACGACAACGCGCCGGCATTCGCGCAGCCCGAGTACACGGTGTTCGTGAAGGAGAACAACCCGCCCGGCTGCCACATCTTCACGGTGTCTGCGCGGGACGCCGACGCGCAGGAGAACGCGCTGGTGTCCTACTCGCTGGTGGAGCGGCGCGTGGGCGAGCGTGCGCTGTCGAGCTACGT